AGATTTAAGGCTGAGCATACCCTGGAACTGGCTGTTGTTCTGTTGCTGCATGTCCTGCATCCATTTGGGAAACCGGATCATACGCGAAACCCATTCCTGAAGATAAAGGGACGTAAAAAGAAAACCAATCATAATACCGGCCACCAGCAACCATTGTACCGGCTTGCCGGGTTTACGGAGTCCCAGGTACTGAAACGGCTTTGGATGCGTCAGGTAAGCAAAGAGTAAACAGGGAATTGTAAACAGGGTAAGGTTGCCAATGATCTGGGCATAATGAGCAACCTGGATCACTCTTGTGCTACTTTCGCTGTTAACCGATATCAATTCCTTGAGTGGAATACCGGTTATATAAGGAAGTGCACGTTGCATAAACATGATGCCTAATGACATAATGATTAACATCGTTGCTACAAAAAGGAACAACTGCAAAAACCAGGGATAAGAGCGCCAGTATTTGGTAAACATGGCGCAAAGGTAGGGGGCAGAACGGTAGTTTCCACCGCCAAAGTAGCGGGTCATAAAAGCTTAAACCCTATTTTAGCAGGATGAAAGCCATGTTGTTTGCCGCCGGTCTGGGTACCCGGTTAAAGCCATTTACCGATCATCATCCCAAAGCACTGGCAGAAGTGAATGGTAAGACATTGCTGGAACACAATATCAGGTACCTGGGCCGTTACGGTATTGATGAAGTAATTGTAAATGTGCATCACTTTGCAGATCAGATCGAGCAGGTTATTGAGCAGCACCAGGGGTTTGGCAGTAAGGTGACCATTTCAGACGAGCGGGCAGCTGTATTGGAAACAGGTGGGGGACTTAAACAGGCAGCTCACTTTTTTAAAGACGAACCCTGTTTCCTGGTGATGAATGTGGACATCCTCACCAATCTTGACCTGCAAAAAATGATAGCCGTACACGATAATGTCAATACCGAAGCCACACTGGCGGTGATGAACCGTACGTCTTCCCGGCATTTACTATTTGATGAGCACATGGCCTTATGCGGCTGGCGCAATAACGGTACCGAGCAGGAACGGATTTCCCGCTATACTGAAGAAACACATCCTTATGCCTTCAGCGGTATCCAGATCATTTCGCAGGCATTGCTGCAAGACATTCATCTGGAAGGAAAATTCTCCATGATCGATGTCTACCTCGAAGCCGCCAAAAGACATATCATTAAAGGCTACGACCATTCCGGTGATCTGCTGCTCGACGTGGGCAAGCCCGAAAGCATTCTTAAAGCCGCACAACTATTTACCTGATGCCGGAAAAAATGACCGATAGCCAATTGCAGGCTTTAAAAATATTGTTGGATGAAAAGATTATCCTGTACAACCAGCCGTCATTTATAGCAG